ATGGTTGAATTAATTAACTGATAGCTTAGAGTTCTCCATTTTTATACTTTGTGATCTTTAAAATCCCTAAATATATTTTGTTCTCTTGCCAGGGTTAAAACTCATATGTTGCTTCTCTACCCACTTGCACAGACTTGTAAGGTCTTTTTAAATCCCATCTGTGTGTTTCTGCATCAGCTGGAAGCATTTAATGTCTCCTAAACTTGGAAATCTCATGTGAGCTTTTTCTTCTGGAGCATTTTTAAAAAGATATTAAAAAAGTATCAATTCCCAGGGAGCTGAATTCTTTATATTTCTCTGCCCAGAGAAATCCCTAACTGACCCTACCATTTAATTCCTATTTTGACCTGATTTAAAATTTTAAGATAAATGAACAGCTTATGAACCTTTGAACCCATGATTTCATCAGTTAACACAAAACAACCACAATCACTACCACAGCCTTTTGTTTAGAAGGACAGCATTCATTAGTTCCCCCTTTATCTGTGCGCTTGTTGACTATAGTAAATTTACCCTTTGGGATGTCCTTTAGGAAAAATGATCTTGCCTTCTCAGTTTCCTTTACTTAAACTCTGCAATGTGCCTTTCTTACCTCCATTTATTCCCATAATTTGTTATTTTTGTTATGTTCACTGAACCTGTCCTTTCTCACAGATTTATCAGCTTGATATTTGGTATATCAGTTCTCATTAAGGATTTAGAATTAATTGCTTTGGGCAGAGTTAACAAAGCATAGGCTCAAAATCCAAAATATATTAAAAAATTTTAAAGTCCAAAGTTCCTGTGGCATTAAAGTTACGACAGTTAACAGTGAGCTCTACATAGCCATTATCAGAGTAAAAGAAATAAAACTTTAAACTTTACCTTTATTTGTAGTAATGTATGTTCACCTTTCAGAAACTACCTATACATTGATCTTGCCATTCTGAATAGGGCAGTTTAATGCATAGGTCACTTCAGAGGGAGTTATGTAATTAGTTTTAATTATACTCTAATATACAGAGGATTTTCTTCAGCTCCTTCTGAATATTTGTACTTTTTACTGTTATACCTCTTAAGAGTGAGCATTCTATCTAAACAGTAAATTATTTATCCTCCAGGTCACACTGAAATAAATGTAGGTAGTGCTATAAAATTGTGGGAAATATGAAAATCATTCACAGCATCACAGGACAAAAACAGTACCCTGGGTTTGATAAGTTTTAGGAAGATTATTTTAGAAATGTTTTCAGAAGAATAATTCTGTACTCATTTCATAATTCTCTACTCCTATTCAACTACATTCAATTTCTCTCTTTTTTTAAAAAAACTACATTCCATTTCTGATGTGTTATTTACTCAATCCCATAAGGGGGTTGGCAGAATTATCATTATTCCATTTTTACAGGTGGAAAAACAGACACTGAAAGAGTAGAAGACTTACCCAGATCGCAGTGCTAATGACAGAGCTGGAACTAGAACCTAGACCAGAAATACGAGGGGGAAATCATAGCAAGCCGAGAAAACTACAAAGTGTCTTGTCTTGGGTAATTAGTGAGTATGAACAGTGAGTTGACAGCTACTTCTAACTGTCCTCCCTACCATCTTGTAAAGAAGTTAATCTCTAAAGCCTGCATGAAGTCACAGACAGCCTTTATTTTCAGAAAAGAAGGAACTAAAAATACAGTAGCACAGCCATTTATTAACCTCAAGCAGCATTATCCTGAGGTAGCAGAGTGCTGTGAAAAAAGCATGGGATTTGCAATCCGAAGACTTAGGTTTGGATCTCAGTTATTTTGCTAGCCTCTTATCTTCTTACGCTAAATACCTATTTAGTTAAAATGGGGTTAATAATACCAGTCTTACTGCCTCAAAGGGTGTTGTGATGATCAATAAGATACTATGTAGAACTACTTTACAAACTGTGCCATTATATGAGTACAAGTCCCTGTCCTTGTATAATAGCAAATAAAGGAAATCCTTCCTGTGTAGGAAGGAATATGACATAGTTGTTAGGATCATGGCTTAGCAGTCACGCTGACTTGGGTTATAATACAAGAAATGCCACATTCTAGCTCCATAACTTAGCTCAGGAACTTAGCCTTTCTAAACCTCAGTCTTCTTACCTTTAAAATGGGAGATAATATCTAACATGAGGTTTTATAAAGATTATATAAAATATTGTCTGTGTCATGCATAAGCTATTGTTAAGTTCTCTTGAATTTTCTTTAATTTTTTTTAATGTTTATTTATTCTTTGAGAAACAGAGAGAGAGAGAGAGAGAGAACAAGCAGAGGAGGGTCAGAGACAGGGAGACACAGAATCTAAAGCAGGCTCCAGGCTCTAAGCCATCAGCACAGAGCCCGAGGTGGGGTTTGAACTCATGAACCATGAGATCATGACCTGAGTGGAAGTTGGAGACTTAACCGGCTGAGCAACCCAGGTGCCCCTGAATTAGTTTTCTTTAAAATGAACATTTTTTTTAACATGCACTCACTTTAATAATGAGTGATAGAGCAAACAAAATATTATTTGATGAGTACAACATACATACACTTAACTTTCATATTAAGGTCAGTTAAGGCTGATAGAAAAGCAGGCACAGGAAGAGGAGAGGAAGGTAGGGGCACCCACTAGTCCCAAGTTAAGAGTCATAAGCTCCCTAGTTCAGAGCACAGACCTTGTGTTTAAATCCCAATCCTGTTGGGGCGCCTGGGTGGCTCAGTCGGTTAAGCGTCTGACTGCGGCTTAGGTCATGGTCTCACGGTTTGTGGGTTTGAGCCCAGCATTGGGCTCAGTGTTGACAACTAGCTCAGAGCCTGGAGCCTGTTTTGGATTCTCTATCTCCCTCTCTCTCTGACCCTCCCCTACCCACACTGTCTCTCTCTCTCTCTCTCAGAAATAAAATTTAAAAAAAAAATCATAATCTTATCATTTATCCCCAATAACTTCTTGTCCCCTACCTGTAATGGTAAGAGTGACCAACATATGTTGAGACTTACTAGGTGCTGGTCATTATTATAAGTGTTATTTTTTTAATATAAATTTTAGTTAGTTAACATACAGTACAATATGATTTCAGGAGTAGAATTCACTGATTCATCACTTATATACAACACCCAGTGCTCATTCCAAGTATCCTCCTTAATACCCATCGCCAATCTAGCCCATCTCCCACTCATCTCCCTCCATCAACCCTCAGTTTTTCTATATAGTTAAGAATCTCTTGTGGTTTGTTTTCCTCTCTTCTCTTTTCCCCCTCACCTTCCCCTATGTTCTTCTGTTTCATTTCTTAAATTCCACATATTAGTGAAATCATAAGGTATTTGTCTTTCTCTGAATGATTTATTTTGCTTAGCATAATATACTCTAGCTCCATCCATGTCACTGCAAATGGCAAGATTTCATTCTTTTTGATGGCTGAGTAGTACACACACACACACACACACACACACACACACACACACAGAAACACACACACCTTCTTTATCCATTTGTCAGTCATGAACATTTGGGCTCTGTCCGTAGTTTGGCTATTGTTGATAATGCTGCTATAAACATTGGAGTACTGAAACGAACTTTTAATTTATATTAATAATTTTAGATTTCCAGGAAAGTTGTAAAGATAGTACAGAGAAATCTCATCAACCTTTTTCCTGGTTTCCTATGTTAATATCTTACATTTGCCACTTGTGAACAAACATTGATGCGTTACTGTTAACTAAACAACAGGCTTTATTTGAACTTTACAAAATTTTCCATGAATGTCTTCTTTCTCTTCCAGGATCCAATCCAGAGTACCACATTGCATTTAGTTGTCATGCATGTCTCCCCTGTATCCTTTGGTCTGTGACAGTTTATCAGTCTCATCCTTTTTCATCACCTTAACAGTCTTGAGGAATATTGGCCAGGTACCATATAGGATGTTCCCCAATCTAGTTTTACTTATTGTTTTTCTCATCATTAGGCTGGAGCTGTGCACTTTGGGAGTGAATACCAATGAGGTGAAGTGCTGTTCTTGTCACAGTATGCCAAGGGGTACATGATACTCATATGATATTACTGATGATGTTAACCTTTATCACTTGGCTAATATGGTTTTTGCCAGTTTTTTTTTTTTTTTCGTGGCATTTTGAGCTGGTTTTGATCGGTTATCACTTTTATCAGACTTTTCTCTTTCCTGTCTTCCCACTGTTTGGAATGCTTTTCATTTATATTTACTTCAAATGTCATTTTCAGAAATATCTTCTCTGACCACTCAAGCTAAAGCAGTCTCTATGACATTTCACTTTTGTGTTTTCTTCATAGCATTTATCATTGCCTGAAATTGTCTTGTGCACTTGTTTACCTTGTTTATTGTTTGTTGATTGTCCCCCACCCCCTCAAACTTGAACATAGGCTTTAGGAGAACAAGATCCTTGTAGGACTGTTCACCTCTGTACACTTGACATCTACCACAAGGGCTAGCATATACTAAGTGCTCAGTAACTTTTTTAAATAAATGTCAAAGAAAAAAAGATCTAGGATTAAATTATTTATAAGTATTTCTGAGAAAGAATGAAAAATAGCTGAAAGGTAGGAGGTTCAATTTAATATTCTTAACTGAGTTGGTTTAGTTTTAATGAAAAGGTTAAATGCAATCATAAGCTTCTATGGAAATAGGTAATCAACATCCTTGTAACTCAGACTCTCTTATAATGCACTTAATAATGTGAATGCCAGAGTATTTTTCTGACTTATAGGCAAGATATGACTGACAAATGTAAGATCTACTTAGTTATTATACATCCGCACCATTTGTGACCTTTATTTGCTAATTGGCTCAGCTTTCCTATTGTAGAATTCTTAACAGAATCTGAAGGAGTGTAGAAATAATTGATGCCCTTGATTTTAACTTATACGTGACTTCTTAGCATCTATTATCTTTTCATTTATATTGACAGAGAAATGGAATACTTTTTGTATAAATCTTTCTTTTATAACCGATTGTAAGGAAACTCTCTTCTTATGTGTTTCTTTAGGACTTAAAATCTCCATATCAGAGGGATGAAATCGCAGGTGCCAGGGCCTCACTGAAGGAGAACTCCCCGCTCTTGCATTCAATTTGTTCAGCTTGTTTGGAACATTCTGATGTTGCTTCCCTCAAAGCCAGCAAGGACACAGTTTGTGAAGAAATTCACAATGCCCTCAATGTAATTTCAAATGCTTCACAAGGCATCCAGAATATGGTTCCCCCCCCAGAATCTAAGGCAGCAACCCTGGGAAATGCCCTTGATGAGCTTGAGGTAAGTGGAGAGAAAGGTAAAATGTGATTTGATGTATCCCAATATAAAAATAAACAGACATGAGTTTTCAGATCTGTGCTGGAGTTTGGACTATGAGTAAATAAAAGTCCAAGTACTTAATCAGTCTCTATGATTGCCTTGTATCTTCCAATGAATTGATTGGCAGGAAAATATTCTATCAGTAGACTTCTGATTCCTTTACATTTCTTCCAAGGAAGTCAATGAATTTAGGGGCGCCCGGGTGGCTTAGTCGGTTAGGCGTCCGACTTTCGCTCAGGTCATGATCTCGCGGTTCGTGGGTTCGAGCCCCGCGTCGGGCTCTGTGCTGACTGCCAGCTCGGAGACTGGAGCCTGTTTCAGTCTGTGACTCCCTCTCTCTCTGACCCTCCCCTGCTCACGCTGTCTTTCTCTCTCTCTCTCCTAGAAATAAATAAAAAAAATTTAAAGTGAGATTGTTGATTATACTGAAATGACAATTTTAGTTTACATGGATGAATTTATGAAATGTAGGATTTATTAATACCACAAATACTTATTACTGGCACTTTCTTTGTGCTTGGGATATAATAGAGCACTGCCCCCATGTAGCTTACATTTTAACAGAGGAATATAAGAAATATAGGAAAACAAAAACAATGAACATTATAGATAAGTAAATAGAATGTTACATTGAGAAAGTGAGGTAACTTGAAGGCTTGAAGGAGATTAGATATTTGGACAGATGGAGATCTAGAACCAGGGTTTAAAAGCATGTCCTCATTGTTTAAGGACAGCACAGAAATCACAGTGCCTGAGTGGGGAAAGTAAGGGGATGAGTCAGAGCTGAACTGAGGAAACCCATGGGTCCAGGTTATGGAGGACTGTGTGGGCTGTTAGGGGTTCTGGCTTTTACTTCAAGTTAAATGGGAGCCATTGTAAGGTTTTAAGCAGAGGTATGACACTGGAGCCCTAAAATGACTACATTGGCTATCTGCAGAGCATAGACTGAAGGGGGACAAAAGGAGAAGGTGAAAAACCAGGCAGGAAACTATTACAGAAATACAGGTTCTATCTTTATATTTTACATACACTGCCTCATTCCACTTCATGGTTTAGTTTGGACCGAAGTGGCCTCAGTAATTATTAAGGCTAAATTTTGTAAGTGAAGCCAACTGGATTTGACAGAACTGATGTGGGATGTGAAAGAAAGGGAGGAGTTATGGGTGATTTTTCAGGCTGGATCTTCCCAAAGCACACACTGAACAGAGTTTGAGATGCAGGTATTGTTAGGAATTAACACGTATGAAAGGAGGAGGGAGGGAGCAAGAATGAGCAGAGGAAGAATTCTACTTATGGGCCAGACCCACAAAGCATAGACCAGTCAGCAGAGAGCTCTAGAGGAAGAGTTACCCTTTAGTGCTTTAGTGTACCTTGTCAGGCAGAAACAGCCAGACTTTTTTTTTTTTTTGCCTCCATCAGCCAATGGATGCAGGTCATCTTGCCTTGGGAAGAGTATGATATCCAGGCACAGGGAAGAGGGAACAGCCCCCTGCATCTGAGGCAGACCTTGTGGGAACTGACAACTGGGGCCATCTACTGGCTTTACTCCCCACAGCCCACAGCCCAGCAATCAGTCTTACTCAGAGAGGGATATGAACATTACACCTCTCTGTCTACCACAAATAATCTTAAGGTTTTGTGTTTTCATTTTTTGGGTTTTTTGTTTTGTTTTGTTTTTTGTTTTTCTTCTTTAGCAGCTTGATAGATGAAGTTTTCATCAACCACAATGGGGAACACTGGGTGAAGCCAGTTTTGAGAAGAAGATCAGAAACTCAATTTTCAGTTTAGTTTGAGATATTTATCAGACATTCAAGTATGATGTCAAAGATCATTAATTCTTCAAGTCAGACATGCAGTTGCTTGATGGGAGGCAACACAGTGCAGTGCTTAAAGACAAAGATTTTAGAACCTAAATGCCAGGGTCCCTATCTCAGCTGTGGACTTGTTGCCCATGTGACCTTAGGAAAGTTACTTAAAAATTTTTTTCTTAATGTTTAGTTATTTTTGAGAGACAGAGTGAGAGCCGTAGACTGCAAGTGGGGGAGGGGCAGAGAGAGAGGGAGAGACAGAGTTGGAAACAGGCTCCTGGCTGAACTGTCAGCACAGAGCCCTACATGGGGCTCAAACCCATGAACTGCGAGATCATGACCTGAACCTAAGTCAGAGACTTAACTGACTGAGCCACCTAAGCATCCCATGACCTTAGGAAAGTTACTTAATTCTCAGTTTTCTCATCTCTAAAATGGGAATAACAATAGGGCCTACATCATTGTTTTGTCCGAATCAGCGAATTAATAATACATGTAAAATACTAAGAGGAGTGACTGGCACATAAGTGCTCAGTAAATATTAGCTCTCATTATCATTAGTGGAGATGACTATTTGGAGGCAAATTTTTCCGCAATGAAGTCAATGCATTTAAAATTACTAAAGTTTTACTGGTAATTTAAAATATAAACTAGACACATATTATTGTTCTTAACATTATTACTTTCATGACAAACATCATGAAAATATAATTTATTTAAATTTAACATAACCTTTATGCTTTTCCTTTAGTTATATGTCTTTAAACAGATGTCTTCATTTCTAATTTGACATTATTAAATTCCTTATTTTTGGCATCCATGCAAAAATTTATTAAGTTCATAATAATTAGCATCTATGTGAAAACTCTAGAAACTAAGTAAGATAGAAAATTAGTGGTGTCTCTTTAATAGTACCCCATCATCTAATTTTTTTCCATCTAATTGCCAATAAACTTGTCTATTAGGTGCATATGTTCTCTTCATAATAAGATTGAAAACTCCTTGCTTTAAAGGGCAAGATTTTGTTTCTTACTAATTTTATACCAGTGATGCTAGCAAAATTCTACGTCCCCCATACATTAATATTTAACATTTCTTCATAGCTAACTTAATTATTACAGTATCCCTATAAGATAAATACTTTTATTTTTGTTTTTACAAAAAATAAAACTGAGACTTAGAGAAGTTATATAACTTGCTCAAATCAGAAAGCTAGTGAATGGTAGTGTCTAGGATGTGATCTAATCTTTCTGATTTCAGAAGGTATTTAAGTTCTGTGCTGTATTGAATTCTCACAGATACAACTTAACATGCTTAATTTATGCTAAGATTCTTAATCTGTATGAACTATCAGAGAAATTATAAATGTAACCAAATCCAAAAGATGGAATACTTTTTTAGGGAAAATAGCTTTGTACTTGAGTAATTTAAGTAGAACTACTTAACTATCTCCCAGAAATCCTAATACCGTCTTAACAACCTTTGAAACAGTTCCAGTTAAAGCTAGAGATGCATAAACCAGTACAAAATTATACAAAATTATATATGTGTGTGTGTGTGTGTGTGTGTGTGTGTATGTGTGTGTGTGTATGTTACAAATAGCTGCTGAGGATCTCTGAACCAGATAAGGCAGAATTTATTGAGCATTTAGCTTTTTAAAATGGTTCTGTAAATTAAATGGTTGCACTTTTCTTTATTTACACAAAGCTGTATTGGTAAACCTTTGCAAATAATCTGCAAATATAATACTATGAAATAAACTGATGTAGTAAATACTCTGTTGGGAGTAAGTCTCATTAAATGTTTATAGTGTGGAAATGTATCAGAGTGGTTATTCAACAACTACGATGCTGAAGCTTTGTTAAATCTTTCATTCTGGTTCATGGCTGGTTGTGGATATGAAACCTGAGATTTGTTGCTAGAGGAGAAAATAGAAGTGAATTAGAACTCTATACAGGCTAAATTGATTGATATATTGGAGAGCTTGATATGAATTATAAAGTATTCTTTTTGCATTTGTGACTAAGAGTTGAGAAGTGTCAAATTGTAGATTGACAGAATTTTGAAGATACCTTTAAGGAAGAAACTTTGGCAGCAAAAATTGCTTTGAAACTTCAAGTCTGTTAAAACATATTTTCTCTTTTTAAAAATTAAATTAATTAAAAACATTTATATATTTTTTTAAGCTTATTTATTTATTTTGAGAGAGAGAAAGAGCATGAGTGGGGTAGGGCAGAGAGAGACAGAGAAAGTTCCAAGCATCCTCTGTGCTATTAGTGCAGAGCCCCAAGTGGGGCTCCAACTCATGAACCATGAGATCATGACCTGAGCAGAGATCAAGAATCAGACCCTTAACCAACTGAGCCACCCAGGTGCCCAAAGACATATTTTCTTTTGTGCAGTGGGAAAAAGCGGTTGTTGTAATCATGGCTATAAGAATAATCCAGAACTTCTTGTGTTAAAGATGATAATAACAAAGGAGTATATTCTCAATTTCAAACAACTGTCATATTTATTTTCTTATTTTTAATATATTCATTCATATACATCATTCATATATTTCTATATTCCCAACACCTCGAACAATGTCCTATGCACAGTAAGTGGTAAGTGAATATCATTGAGTTGAAGGAAGGCAGGAAGGAAGGAGTGGCGTAGGAAAGAAGAAAGGAGGGAAAGAAGGAAAGAAAGCATAAAGGAATGCTTTGTGATTTGGAGTAAAGAACATGTTTTCCTTATCCTTTTTTTTCCCTCTTCTTTCTCCAACTAATAGCATATGTATTTGGAGTATGTTGCTTTACTTAACTTTTAACTGGGACATGGATTTGGTGAGAGTAACTACCAGAAGCATATTTAAGTGATATGCTACTTAGATTTTTTTTCTGTGATAAGAGTAAAAGTTCTCTACTTTTAGTAGCTATTTAGACTAATATCTAGCCTTAGTTTAGGTTCCCTGCTACTTCCAACATATGCTGCCTTTTACCAAGAGTAATTAATTTTGAGGAATGTGTATACCTGAAGGAGAAAATGGCCTACGTTAATCAGATTAGCATTTAGAAATGAAAGAAAAATTGTCTGGGTGCCTGGGTGGCTCAGTCAGTTAAGCATCCGGCTTCAGCTCAGGTCATGATCTCACTCAGGTCATGATCTCAT